CCCCAAAACCCCAAAACCCCAAAACCCCTGAGCTCAATATATAGAGATATTAAATAGGTATGGATTAACAATAATTTTTTATCAGAAAATTGTTAGTAATTAGATGATAAATAGGAATGCGATTGCTGAGATTATAATAATGAAAATATCTAATATTCAATTTATTGAGAACCAAAGTATTGATTAAAACCTTGCTAGCGAGGAGACCAAGATGACTGATGAACAGCAGTCGTCCCTCCAAGAACAAATGGTTGATATAGCCACTAACTTCTCCCATCAAAACAGCACTCAAGAAGAGGCAATTGAACAATAGGAGGAGGAAAATCATTAACCAAGTCTTTAAAATTCTTCAATCAACGGGCAGTTCAGCATTGTTCGAAGGCTTGGACCAGGCACGGACTTGCACAAGTAAGTCTACAGAGTCTTGAGCATCAGAGATAGCAAAGAGTACGTCGTTAAAGTTTACATGCAAGACGAGTAAGGCTAATACTATCTGGAGGTAGCCAATAACAATCTCATCGATAGAAACACAACCAGATAGGTTCTGATGCTATAATCTGTTGCCCTAAACGAGGTGGAGGCTCCCCTTCTTCTTGAAGGCGTATCATACTCACACTACTCCTACTTCGTAATGCCTTACTACAGAAACGGTACTCTTCTCGACCTAATCATGAACTATAACAAAAAAGAGAGAACGATGCCTACCGAACTCAAAAATTATCTATGGCTACAGTGCTTGTTGTGTGTTTATGATCTACTTGGCAGAAGCGGTTTGAGCCACTTAGATCTTAAACCAGACAACTTCATCATTGACGATGACTATCGGCTGAGGCTGATAGATTTCGGGCACTCAACCCTATTCAACCAGCCAACCAACGCAGAAACTGGAACTCCGAATTTTATGGCTCCTGAAATCTACTTCAGGAATTAAAGAAGATACATCCCAGAAAAAGCTGACATCTTTAATCTTGGAGTCATTCTACACATAATTCAGTTCCAGAAGGTGCCGTTTGGAAGAGCATTACCTAATGACTAATTATACGTCTACGTTGGAAGAAACGATTTCAACGGATTTTTCTTAGCTCACAATGCTGTTGGATATCCCCTGGAGGGATTGAAGCTCATCTGGCAATGTCTACAAGTCTAAGCTGCCAGAAGACCCACAATCCACGACCTGTTGGTACATCCTTTAGCAAGGTAAACAAATCCTAACTTTACTCATGAATTGATGAAACAGATATTATTATTATGAAAATGATGTGATGGAAAGCATCATTGGATAAGAGCTTGTTTTTATAAGGCTATCCCCTCTTGTAAACAAAGAGGGCATACAACCAAAAAAAAATAAAAATAAACTTCTTTAATATTTCCACCCAATCTCTCTTTTAATATATACCTTAATATAATTTACATATTTATGGATCCCGACTAATAATAAAATGGAATTATATCAATCTTACTTCGAAATATAGCTTCAGGGGTTTTGGGGTTTTGGGGTTTTGGGG